TTCCCCCCCCCCCCCCATACCCATACCCATACCCCACCACCACCACCCTGCACAACCAATAGTCGGGCAAGTCAAAATGTTTTATTTATATTTCGCAACATAGCACATGCTGCTCCATCATCCCCATGAGCATGGCCAAGCGCTTGCACTGCGGCAGCAGCAGTGTCGGTCACCGGGCACCGCTTGCTCTGGAGCTCGACTCCGCCAGCTTAAACTCGGCCCAAGCTCGGCTCGATCAAGGGCATGACTCACATCATCGGCAACGGGCTGTAGACATGACGCCGACCAAGCGGGCCAAGGTGCGTGCGTTCTACATGTCGGAGACGTACGGGCAGACGATGGAGGTTCCGTTCTCTGCCGAGGTGCGGACCAAGATCATCTGCACGATCGGCCCGGCGTCTGCCAACGAGGCGATGATCCGCGGCCTGGTCATGTGCGGCATGTCTGTGGCGCGGCTCAACTTTTCGCACGGCAAGCACGAGTGGTTTGCTGAGGTCATTGCCACGGTCCGGCGCGTGGCGGCCGAGCTCAACCGGACGGTGGCGGTCATGCTCGACACCAAGGGCCCCGAGGTGCGGACGTGCTCGCTGGCCGGTGGCGAGTCGGTCATGCTCCACAAGGACACAACGTTCACGCTGCTGACCGACACGTCGGTGGACGGCGACGACACGCGCGTGGCGACCACATACCCGGGCCTCCCGCAATCGGTGGAGGTCGGCGATTACATCCTCATCGACGACGGGCTCATCCGCCTCCGGGTCACTGAAGTCCACACCGACTCGGTTGTCACCACCGTGCTCAACTCGGGCCAGCTCGGGCAGAACAAGGGCGTGAACCTGCCGGGCAAGGAGTACGACCTGCCTGCCGTCACCGCCAAGGACCGCGCCGACATTGCCTTTGGCGTCGAGCAGAACGTCGACATCATTGCGGCGTCGTTCATCCGCAACAAGGCCAACGTCGACGAGGTCCGCGCCCTGCCGGGCGTTGCCGACGCCGGCATCCACATTGTGTCCAAGATCGAGTCGACTGAGGGCCTCACCAACTTTGACGAGATCCTGGCCGCCTCGGACGGTATCATGGTTGCCCGCGGCGACCTCGGCGTGGAGATCCCCATCGAGAAGGTGTGCAACGAGCAGAAGAAGATGATTTCCAAGTGCAACCAGGCCGGCAAGCCGGTCATCACCGCCACCCAGATGCTCGACTCGATGATCCGCAACCCGCGGCCGACCCGTGCCGAGTGCACCGACGTCGCCAACGCTGTCTTTGACGGCACTGACTGCGTCATGCTCTCTGGCGAGACCGCGTCGGGCCTTTACCCGCTCGAGGCCGTCCAGGTCATGGCCCGCATTTGCGTCGAGTCGGAGGCCGCGCTCTCCTTCCGTGAGCGTTTCGAGAAGACCCGCGCCACCCAGCTCGCCCTCACCCCGGTCATCAACCACGCCGAGGCCATCGCCTCGTCGGCCGTCAAGACCGCCACCGACATCGGTGCCAAGCTCATCGTTGTCCTCACCGAGACCGGCCGCACCGCCCGCCTCCTCTCCAAGTACTTCCCCGAGGCTGTCATCCTCGCCATCACCGCCTCGCCCAAGACCGCCGCCCAGCTCCTTCTCACCCGCTCCGTCACCCCCATCAAGGTCAACCAGATCGACGTCAACGACAACGTCATCCGCGCTGCCCTCTTTGAGGCCGTTGACTCGCAGATGATCGAGTCGGGCGACGCCGTCGTCGTCGTCTCGGGCACCATCGTCGGCCAGTCGGGCGCGACCAACACCCTCCGCACCCTTGTTGTCCCGTAGTTGGCGGATCATGTTTTAAAGCTATGCCTCTCCCCTTTGCTCTCCTTTTCCCGTGCGCTCCGGTCTATATTGGTGCGCTGCGGTGTGAGATGGTCTCGGCCCAGCCCATTCACAGATCATCGTTGAGGATGAACCTGTTGCCCTCCGACTGACGGCCGTAGTACACATACTTGGAGACGCCAAAGCGGGCGCCGCCGGGCTTGTTCTGCGGCTTGTCGTCGGGCAGGGTGTCGAGGCCGGGAGCGGCAGCGGGATCGTCGCCGGGCGGCTGCGAGTCGCCGGTTGAGGCGACGACGGGCGACTTTGGCCTTGCGACGCGCATAAACTTGCCGATACGTGCCGCCTCGTCGCGCTCGCTTTGCGTCACCTCTGTCGAGTCGAGAAAGCCGAGGTTGGGGATGCGATGCAGGACGTAGAGGCGGTAGCGGGCATAGTCCGAGTCGTCCTTCTCCGAGTTGAAGATCGGCGTGGGGCAGCACGGGTTCTTGAGCAGCGAGAGGTAGCGGAGGCGGGGATAGTGCGACTCGATAAACTCCAGCAGCGTATCGATGTCGGTCACATGATTGTTGTTGAGGGTGAGGGTATCCAGCTCGGGGGCGTTCGGAGGGAGGCAGAGACCGTCATCGGTCACCTCGTTGTTGTCCACCACCAGCGACTTGAGCGCCACAAATCCATCCAGCCCATCAAGCGACTGCAGACAGTTGTACGAGAGGTCAAGCGTCGCCGCATCGCCGCCATACGCGTCGCCAAAGCCTTCGGGAACAGCACTCCAGTCCAGCCCGGCGCAATTGACCTCGGCCCCGCTCACGCGCACGCCCTCGAACCCAGCAGACATGGCGGTGGGGGGTGGGGGTGGGGGTGTTGGGGAGTGGGGGTGGTGGGGAGTGGGGGGGGTAGGGGGGAGAGGGTAGGGGTGAGGGGTACGGGGGGAGGGGGGGGGCGTCGGGAGAGGGGTTGGTGGTGGTGGTGGGTGTCAAGGAGGTCGTCGGTTGGTCGGTCGGTCGGTCGGTCGGTCGGTCGGTCGGTCGCAGCCGGTTGGTCGCGGCCAGATGGTCGGTCGCGGCCAGGTGGTCAGAGAGTCGGCTGAAAGCTTTTACGAAGAGAACATCTTGGCGTACATCTTCTTCTGCTGGGCCTTGGCCTTCTTGCGGTGGGCGGCAATCTTCTTGAGCTCGCGCTTGACGGCGGCAGACTCGGGATCGACGGCGAGCGCGGCCTTAAAGTCGGACTCGGCGGCGTCGTAGTTCTTGAGCGCGGCGTGGCAGCAGCCGCGGCGGTGGAGGGCCTTGACGTTCTGCGACTGACCGGCGAGAGACTCGAGGACCTCTGTGGTGTCATCGATGGCCTCGTCGTACTTGGCAAGGTGGAAGTAGCACATGGCGCGGTTGATGAGCGGCGAGACGAGGGCGGCGTCGCTGTCGGCGTCGTCGGACGACTTGAGGTAGCGAATGGCCTTGGCGTACTTTGCGATGGCGGCATCAAAGGCCTTGGCCTTGAACAGCTCGTTACCCTGGAGGCGGAGCGTGTTGGCGATGTCAACGGCCTTGTCGGAGCCGTCGTAGTCGTCCGGGTACTTGGGGTACGGGTCGTTGGGGTCCGACGAGTTGACGATGCCGTCGTCGGCGCCCGGCGCGAGCTCACCGCAGTCCTCGATGACGACAGCATCGATGGGACGGTCGTCGGCGGTCTCGAGGGCCTCGATCTCGCGGACGACGCCCATGCCCTTGAGGACCTCGCCAAAGACAACATGCTTGCCGTCGAGGTGTGGCGTGGGAACGGTGGTGACAAAGAACTGCGAGCCGTTGGTGCCCGGCCCGGCGTTGGCCATGGAGAGCAGGCCCGGCTTGGTGTGCATGACCTCAAAGTTCTCGTCCTCAAACTTGGCACCGTAGATCGACTCGCCGCCGGTTCCGTTGTGGTTGGTAAAGTCGCCACCCTGGATCATAAAATCCTCGATGACGCGGTGGAAGGTCGAGCCCTTGTACGACAGAGCCTTGCCGGACTCGCCAACGCCCTTCTCGCCGGTGCAGAGCGCACGGAAGTTCTCCGACGTCTTGGGCGTGATGTCGGTGTAGAGCTTGAACACGATGCGGCCGGCCGGCACGCCGCCGATGGAGATGTCGAAGAATGTCCGCACGTCAGACTTGGACTCGGCAGCCATGGTTCTGTGTTCGAGGGTCAGAGTTAGGGTCAGGATTGGCAGTAGACGTATCGCAGCCGAGGCCGAGGCCGAGGTCGAGGTAAAGGAATGCATCGCAGCCGCGGCCGACGCAGAACGCATCGCATCGCAGCCAACACAGGGGACGCATCGCAGCCGACACAAAGGGCCGACACAGGGGACACAGGGGGGGGATGCATCGCAGCCGACACAGCCGACACAGCCGACACAAAGGGCCGACACAGCCGACACAGCCGACACAGCAGACACAGCAGACACAGTCGACACAGTCGACACAGCAGACACAGCCGACGCAACGCCCACCGCAACGCCCACCGCAACGCCCACCGCAACCAGCACCACATCCACATCCACATCCACATCCACATCCACATCCACATCCACATCCACATCCACATCCACATCCACATCCACCACACACCCCAACCATGGCCCAATCCCCAACCATCTCCCAATCCCCATGAGTTCCCCTTCCCCTTCCACCTCTTCCCCTTCCACCAGTGCTTCACGAAGACTCGATCCCCCCTCCCCCTCCCCCTCACCACACACACACACACACACACACACACACACACACACACACACACACACACACACACAAACACACACACAGCACACATGTGACCATCACTGCGTCACCAACACATACATGTACTGCGAGATGGTATCGAGTTGGGTGATGGTCCCCGTCGCAGTCAGCTCGCTCGACTGGCCTCATTGTGGTCGACGTCGTTGTTTACGTTTGAGCGAAGGTGCCTCTCTCACTCGGTCTCCAGATCCTCGACGGTCATGCCGGCGAGCGCGTTGTCAATCTGGCCCTCAAAGGCATCGAGCGCCTCGAGCTGGGCTTGCTTGTCGGCGGAGAGGGTCGGTGCCGGTGAGGGCTGCGGTGGCGGGCCGGTCCGTGCGCCCATGCGAAGCTCGTCGAGCGCCATGAGCACCTTGCTCTTGAAGGCCCGCAGGTCGGCGTCGCGCTCGCGGAGCTTGGCAGTGTACTCGACCTGCACCGCCGCCGTCCGCCGCTCCACCGCCGCCGCAATCGCCGACTGGACGCCCGGCGAGAGCTCGACCGCCGACGCTGCGCCGGAGCCGGCCCCGCCGCTCGACGCGAGCATGGAGCTCACCCGCGCCTCCACCCGCTTCTCCAGCACCTTGAGGTTCGACTTTTGGTTCTCGTGAAGCTTCTTGAGGTTGGCATACTGCTCCTTGCGGACGTCGCGGAGCGAGGTCTTGAGCGTCGCCACGGCAAACCGCAGCTCGTCGAGCTCGCTGCTCGCCCCCGCAGCACCCGCAGCACCGCCGCTCGACGCCGCCGCCACCTCGAGCTCGTCCATCCGCGTCTCGACCCTCGCCAGCTTGGCCTCGAGCGCCGCAGTCGCCTCAAAGCTGCCCGCGCCGGCGCCCGACGACGCCATCGACGCGTTGGCCGCCTCGGTCTGCAGGCTCGCCACCGTGTCCTCCACCAGCTCGAGCCGCGACGCGAACTCCGCCACTGACTCCTCCATGGCCCGGATCGAGGCCCGCGACGGCGACACGCCCGCTCCACCATCTCCACTTCGCCCGCCGCTGCCGCTGCCGCTCGCTCCGCCCGCCGCCGGCACAGACACTGCGTGGCCGTGCCGGAGGAGGACCAGCCGCATTCGCAGGTCCTCGATCTGGGCCTGGAGCGGGACAACCCGTGAGTCGACCTCGGCCTTGACCGACTCCTCTACAACCTCGGTCGTCTCGGCGGTGTGCGACTGGAGCAGCCGCGCGACCTCGTCGATAAAGGCGTCGCCGCGGAGGCCTGCCAGGTTCGACGCCAGCTCGGTCGCCGCCTCGCCGCTTCGGCGCTCCGGCTCGGTCGACAGGTACCACACCGCGCCCGAGAGCGAGTTGGTCTCGCTCAGCCCGCCAAAGGTGATAAACGAGCCGTCGACCACCGTGGCAGCGTGGTCAAAGACCGGCGACGGTGAGAGCACCCCGCCGGTGACCTCGACCCCGCGCGCCGTCGCCTCAACCCGCTCCCACCGGTTCTCGGCCACCCGGTAGAGCCACGCGTCCTCGAGCACCGACGCCCCGCGCCCGCCAAACACAACCAGGTTGCCGCCCACCTCGGCCGCGACGTGGCCCGTCCGCCGCTGCGGCCGCTCGCCCACAGGGTCCAGCACCTCCCACGCAAACGTCACCGGGTCCAGCCGCCACAAGTCACCGAGCCGGCCAGCCTCCGAGAACCCGCCAAAGCAGTAGACCGAGCCGGCCACCACCGTGAGCGTGTGCCCGTACCGCGGCGCAGGCGTGGCGCCCATCGGCATGACCTCAGTCCACGACTTGGACGCCACGTCGTAGGCCCACAGTTCGCCGTCGAGCGCTGTCCCCGTGCTCACGCTCGGGAACCGGTCCGCCCCGCCGTGCACAAGCATCACTCCGTCGTAGTACACCGCCGCGTGCCCGTACCGCGGCGACGGAACCGGCGCCGACGGCTGGACCGCAAACCGGGTCCACTCCCACTCGTCGATGTCCAGCCGCCACAGATCGTTGAACGCCCGCACGCCCGACTCGCCGCCAAAGACCAGCATGCCACCAGCGCCGTCGCCCACGGCAGAGTGGCCAAACCGCCGCGATGGCGTCGCCTGTGCCGTCTGCGGCGCCACCCGCCGCCACCGCAGCGTCTCCGAGTTGAACACCCACATGTCCTCCTGCGCCGACGCCGCCCATCCGCCAAACACCACCACCTCGCTCCCGTGCGCCACCGCAGAATGCCCTCTCCGCTTCACCGCCGTCATATGTGCGTTCGGCACCTTGTGCCACGACAGCGCCGCGTGTCCCACCCGCGCCTCACTGTGCCTCCGCCCGTAAATTCCCGGAATGCCCCAACGCCCGAATGTCCGCACACCACACATCCCCAAAAATAATCCATCAATGAGTCGTGCATGTACACACCTCCGCCCCATGTCCACCAAGTCAGCCGAGCCGTCTACCTGGGTCAGCAGAGCCGTGCCCGTCGTCGGCACCTCCCCCCCCCCTCTCCCCTCACCCTCCACCTCCCCCCCCTCCCCTCACCCCCCCTCGTACTGTCCACAAGCACACACGTACGACATGGTGTTCTTGGTCACCACAGACAGTGGTGGGTCAAGTGGCTGGCGGCAGGGGTGCGGCTTGCAGGGTGCGGTGTGAGGGGGGGGGAGCGGAGGTGCCAGTGGCTGGGAGCCGTTCGCACTGAAACTGCTACCTTTGTACGCAATGGCAAATTAATCGTTGCTGACGGAGCGCTGGCTTTGGCGAGCAGGCAAGCAGGCGATAGACGTCAAGGTGGACTAGTCAGGGTCAGAGGGAACGACGGCAAGGGGGAACGGGGGGGGGGGGGCGGGGGGGGGAGGGGAGGGTAGTGAGTGATATTGGAT